CTAAAAAATGCGTCTGAATACGCCTATGAAACCGTTGCCATGGAAACTGCCAGTGACGAAATGACACCTATTTTTGGATAACCAACTATTCTATAATTCAACCCCGTAAAAGTGTTCAACTGGCCTTGGTCAGTCTTTCTGTTGTATTCTTTCAAAGTTACAAACCATCAAAAAGATGAAAACCGGTACGAGCCACCTTAAGAAGACGTTATAACGAACTTGTGCGCGCGCGACTTGCGTGCGTGTGCTTAATAATATCGTGCGTGTGCTTAATAATATGCTTAGGTTAATAATATCGTAAGCAAATCACGCGGACTTTTTTATTTTTGTCGTGTGCGATTTTCTTAGAGAGAGTTGAAAGTTTTTAAAGTTGTATCGATTGGCGGTTTGTTTAACGGTCGTTGTCGTTTACCGCCGGTGAGTCTACAGTTTACCGTGTTGGAATTAAAGTGTCTGTTTGGATTTTCCGTTTCGCATCCGAACAAGTATCATTTTGCCGTTATCTTGTACTTTTCTTCTAATCTTAGTATTGACATCATGGTGCGTAAGTATTTCAACCTAATTATTGACAGTAAAAGGGCGATGTTCACAGATTAATGGGAACATTAATATATAGACTTTGTCACAGTTTCCTCTTGCACTGGGGTAGTGCAATGTATTTTTTCTGGATTAGTAGGATTGCATCAGGCAGAACAAAAGTATGATTGATTCTTTTACGATTTATTCAGATCACGTTCCATCGGGGAAAGTATTTCAACGTCAAAATGGAAATTATCTAGCCTAACAATTAATGAAATAAACCATCTCTTAATAGACAGGTACTTACCTGGATTCGAATACTATTCTTTGTATATCATTCAAATTGAATCCAATGAAGCCTTTTCCTTTGCTCCCTTGAAGATCGAAATGCAACGTCCCACTATCACTGGACGGTATGGGTGGAGGATGGGAAGCACGGCACGATGGAGGGATAGGTGGAGGTACACGGGCTGGCGCCACTCCCGCGTTTGATACACCCAGAGTGTGTCCAGATAGAAAATCGATTGAGCTAACCAACAAATGATAAATCAAATAACACAAAGTTGAAACCACTTACATTAAATCCAGTCCTCAACTTTATGCCATACAGTGAACTTCAAGGACAACAAAATAATTCGTATACAAATTTCAGGTATCAGAAAAATTACCTCTCCACCAGATTTCATCAAAGCAAAGGATAAAAACGCTGCCGACAGTTCAATCTTAAAGAGCATAATACATGTAACAATTCGTGGCGCAGGACTTAAAAGAACAGCTAATGAAATTACCTGGAGTCAATGATCAAGTTTTTTATCCCACCCGTGAAACAGAGCGCGTAAGGAGCGTAGGATGACTTATTGGAAGGAATGCCACCGATATAAAACGGTTCATGAAGAACTAACGGTGAAGCTTCGAAGTTATAGAGACCAGTGTAAAGAAGAGTGTTGTTCACGTGCAGTTCGTATCTGTAAAAATAAAAGAAACATCACAAAAGCTAACGTACTTGATGCATGCAATTAGCCCACACTCTCGGTAAAAGTAATGTTGGCTTTACATGCAGCACAAAGAGGATTGTTGCAACTACCCATTGCCTGTGAGCTGTAAAAGCACCGTGCGCCATGAGTTGTCGGAGAAGGTAATATTTGATGAAGTGAAGACAGGAACTGATTCGATGTCCCCTAACCAAAGGAGTAAGTCTCCATGTAGCAATGCCATGTACAGAGATGGTGCACTCTGCGTCTGAGAAAAAAAGAGAAATAAATCATGAAGCGTGGGATATATTTACTTTCTTGTAAACTAATTGATAACATTTGTAAATTTGGAATCGTCCTTTTTAAAGAATCGACGATGTAGATACAGCTGGATATAAAAAGGCATAACTATTGTTTGCAGGTGTCTAATGAATTGTTGTGACGCACCTTTTAAGGCTTGTAAACCAAGTAAAGTCGTGTTTTACAAACCAAAAGTTCTGAGTAAAAAAAAAAAACAAAACATCCAAAACACTGGATAAATTGAATGAAATCGAAATCGCTCGGGTGTCACAGAAAATCAAATGAATGTCAATGTTGCTTACGGATTTTTCGCTGAAGAGAAGAACGCCACTTTCTCTCTTTGTCTTAAAAGTAAAGAGCAATGTAGAAAATTCTGCTTTTCCGATAACAACAGCTGCATATGAACAGTCGCTCATTTCGGCCACGAACCCGTAGAAACGTGTTCCATATTCTATCTGGAGAGTTAATACCAAAAAGGTTAAGCAATTTAATAGAGGGTAAATAATTTAAAGTGCCTGTTCTAATCAGTCTTCCTAAATTGATTAAGAAGTGTGCTAAGTTAACCCCCAAAACCATTTTATTTTACTTTCTATACGGTGCGTCTCCACTGCTTCCGCTGTTTGGGACACTAACCATTCCTCAATTTCTCATTTGAATGCATGTATAGTACGTGACAACAAGCTTGTAATTCGAAAATGGAGAACGTTACCGTGCGAGGGAAAGCACCCACCAACTGGAAAAATAGCATGGTTATAGCCATTGGTTACCAGTAATTAGTTACAAGTTTCCTTCCCTCTCTCTAAATTGCTTCGTTCCTATACCTGCGGATCATGCTTGTGATTTCCTCTTCACAGGCTGGAGATTAAATATTGTAGGTTTAAAAAATAACTGTATCTTGGTTATCTCATTAAACTTACCCCTCCTTTGATAACGCCAGTAAACGATACCCCATGTTTTGAAAGCATAAATGCTGGGTCGTTGAAGAGCCGCGGAATTAGAGATGAGGACACACTACTGTACAGCAACAAGTTTTTCATGTCTCCGGAGAAAGCTTCGGTAGCTTCAAAGACTATGACACTGAAGAGAAGAAAATCATATAAATTTACACTTAAAGTTACTTATAGAAGGACACTGGCATCAAAAAGTTAAAATTGTTATCAGATTCTCTTAAGAGACTTGAATTAAGCGTGCCATATGATGATCAATCTATCCGTCCACTAGTGCACCCGCATAAAGCCTTCATAGTTTATCAGTCAGTAAGTCATTGAGTGAGTAAGCGAGTGATTGAGTGGGTCAGTCGCTCAGTCAGTCAGTCAGTCAGGCAGGCAGTCGTTGGTTCAGTCAATCAGCAGTCAGTCAATCAGCCGTTTAACTAGGTCCATGGTGTTAACCATCCTGTATTATGCGGGGAATGGAATATAAGGATATGTGATGCTTATGCGCTGTGATGATATAAATGATGATGATAAGTCTGGTTATTTAATGAAGGGAAATTGTTCTTCAGTAAATGACACAAGCATACTCGCAGGAAAGTATTTAACAATTATTCTACGAACGCGCGTCGAATATGAGATGATAGATAGCCAACGAGGCGCGTAGCGCCGAGTGGCTATAATCATCTCATATCCAACAAACGCGAGTGGAATAATTGTTTTATTAAAAACGCTACATTAAATTGTTAAATTTTATTAAATTTTTAGCTCCTTTTCAATTTTAAGCATATGCGTAGGCTTACCATATCGTGGTTTATGGTATATTGGCCAATATACCATAATGGTATCTGAGCCAATTATAATGGCTAAGCCAATGAAAAGTCTTGAATTGCGTTATCCAATGATCCAGTTTTTAATAAATGAAATTACACTTAAACACAGAGATCAACTGGTATCTTCTGAATGGTATTTTACTGATAATGAATAATCACCGACGAAAACTCGTTAATTTCTCAGTACTAACCTGTTGGGGTTTAGAGATCCATAAGTGATCAGATGACCATTGGCCATCACAGTTTTACCGGTGTCGACAAAACGGCTGTCAGGTGTCTGAGCTGAGCCCAGAGGATTTACAGTTAGGGTCGCATTTACGGAAGTCCGCACGATACCAACGTGATACCAGCGACCATCGCCGTATGAAGACCTATGAATGTAATTACAGTGAGGTACTTTTGTTAGCAGTAAATACTTGTCCAAGAAAGACAATTGCACATACAAATTTCTGGGGAGTTAAGTACCACTTGATTTCTTTAATGCCTTGAGAGGCGATTTTATAAATCAAAATAGCAATATACAGTACCTTACTTGAGAAGTTCGGAGTGAGAAACTTTCAAGGCATGAAATTTTTTTGTTAGCATGATACCATTATTGGTTTGTATTACTCACCCACTGCTTGTCAGTGTAATTCCATTATTTTCCCCAAATTCGAAATAGAAATTAACTTGTCCATTGTGAAGATAAAGAGCAAGAACGTATGTCTGTTCTCCACTGGAAACAGCCATAATGATTCCATTCTGGTGCAGGGTTCTAAAGTCTAATTCCACAGAAACATGCCCAGAGCTGACATTGAATTGCCCAACTGCATGCTGGAGGAAACCGTTTCCATAAACACTAACTGCTTTTCCATTGTGCGGATAGAAGTTGGGTTTGTATCGTGGAACTGCGTACATGACACCACCAGAAGATTGTACAGAGTTCCAGAGATTGTAGCGATTGTTGTCAATAACAAGATTATCAATAATACCGCTGAAGTGATCAATCGGTAAAGATCCCTGAGGAATAGAAATGTATCAAATTTCAATAGACTCGTGTGAATTGTTTTTTTTTTATTTCTGTTTGGAGACAACCCAGGTGCATAGAAGCAGATTTCAGTCAACCTAACCTTATTTTGTCTCTTGCCCTGAGAAATGGTATGATTGATGATCAAATTTGCATAACCTTATTTGTAACAACAGTTATCCATATTGTGGCCAATCGATATAAGGGCGATATGAATTATTTTTAAGCCAGATTTAATTACGTTACCATTACGTTTAGAGGTGAGCCTCCCAGGTAAATGATGCTATCATTGCTAAACTGTAACGTCTTTCCATTTACTGAAGAGCCATGCATGGAGGCTGTCTCGCGCATCTGTCGGTCTGCACTGACTGTTAAGAGTGCGTCGGCCTTAAATCTGCTCAGAAAAAATCGAAACAATAAAGCTTACCTCGTTGCAGGTATTTTTTTCGCTAGAGATATCAGATGATAAGGTTTCCGTTTAAAGAGAGACAGTTGACAAGTTACCTCTAAGCTTGCTGACTAATGACGAGTCAGTTGTAGAGGGCAACAGAATCTGGTGCAAAGACGAGTTCAGTACGAGGAAGGAAAGGGGATATTGTTTCTAATATGATTACAGGTATGATTACATAGTCTGATCGTCTGGGCAAGGTAGAACTGAGAAGGACTGTTCTCAGTTCTCCATTGTGGCGACTGACAGTTCAACAACCTTAGCGGACGCAGCATCAGAGTCGGATGTAGCAGTATGAAGCAGGTAGTGGGTAAGTAGTAAGTGACAAGCATTCTGCACTGATATGTTTTGATGTAACTTCGGACGATTCCATGATTATACCGCTGTTTACAAAATATGTGAAGTAAGAATGGATCACTCTTAGATGACTGCCCCCTTTTCAGATCAATGTGTATGCTTACCTGGTGAAATAAATGTTGTACCAGGTGTCATTTTTTAGTATCAAGGGATTCTGAGCAGTGATTGGTTTATCGCCGAGGTCATACATAACACTCATAGTACTGTTTGATATATAAAAGGCGAGGCTTTTCGTCTGCAAAAAAAAATGAGGAGCAGGAAAATATACTTATTAATTAAAGAATAAAACCACATGAGCGAGGAGATCCAAATTTGAAAAAAGTCTTTTTCTTTTTTTTTTACTGTGTGCTATTATATACAAAAGATGGTTTGAAGGCAAGAATTGTTGTGAGAGTTAAAAGTGAATGGACAAAAGTCCGAATTCCTGACCAGCGGAAAACAACTCGAGCAGTGATCGTACCGGGTGCTCTTTTTCTCTATTAACCCGCTGACCCTTAACGTTACCGTGCACCTTCAGGGGTGTCTCGCGTGCAAGCGATGTTGCGCGTCCGGTTTAAACTGTAGATATCTAAACCCCTATATCAAATTAAAGCTTATAGGACTGGCTATCAGACTATACCAAAAATGTTGAAAAAAAATGAATTGTCGAATTTTTCACGACTTCTAAATGCGAGCGCCCGAATCACCTTTTGAACGTTACATGTCAAAGCAAATTTTGTTTTTCGCTTATTTAATGTGTTCCTCCGTTTACGGGGCCAAAGCGCTAAAAAAACGTGTCTGCCATTTGCCATAGGATTGAAAAAATTTGGAGTAATCGTGCAAAAATCACTCTTGAAAAAACGTATTTAGAAATGAAAAATTCGGGGACACGTTTTTGTTGTTTATATGTAAAACTAGCTGCTGTCAAAATTTGTGAGCAATCGAACAAATTCGCTTTGACTTGTAGCTCTTAAAAGGTGATTCGGGCGCTCGCATTTAGAAGTCGTGAAAAAATTCGATAATTAATTTTTTTTTCAACATTTTTGGTTTAGTCTGATAGCCAGTCCTATAAGCTTTTATTTGATATAGGGGTTTCGACAGTTTAAACTGGACGCGTTACATCGCTTGCACGAGAGACACTCCTAAAGGTTCACTGTAACCTCAAGCTGTTATAGTATCGCTTTCCTCCGAATAAAGGACGCCCGATCGCAGCATTTTTTTTATAGCAGAGCAAAAAACAAAAAGAAAAAGGTTTCCAGAGCACAATTCTCCAAGTAACACGTAAGGTGGCATGTTTTGATCAGAAACAACATTCTACTATTCTTACCAGCCAATAAGAGTGTCCGGTGGTCTTTTGATGAGGCTCTGCTATCAGATACATTACAAGACCCTCAGTGACGTTAGTCTTGATATCAAACGAGATCTCGTTTCTCAAAGGATGTTCAACTGTTTGGGCGGATGGAACAAATTGTACCCAGCTATCATTCATAACGAGAAGGGCTAAAGGCAACGAGGCGGCCATCATTCTCACTTGACTGAGTTTTTCTGATACATTACTCATGCGTGTTTCTACTTGACTTCGGATAGGCGGGAGTCAATCCTTAACTGATTTGGCTTCTTTAACGGTAGCATTTACTTTCGGCTCATGTGGATTTGGTGTGAGCCTTGCCGAGATATTTTGCACTGTAAAGGAACAAAAAAACCTACGTCTATGGCATGCTATGCAACTGAAGTACTAATTTTATCGAGGACTTTAGTCCTTTACGGCTTAAAAACGGTAGCTACCGCTTAAAGTTTACAAGAAACAATAGCCAGTTGTTTAGACAAAGGTGGTATGATACTAGAACACCTTCGAGACGTGGAAAGGAATGACAAGGACACATCGAAACCAGTCGCTAGACATTTTAATTTACCTAATAATTCTAAGCAACACATGGCAATCTGCGGTCTTTCCTTACACTTAGGTAGCACGGAAAGCCGTAAAACTCTTGAACAAAAGCTCATCTTTCAAACCGGCAGTCTAAATCCCACAGAGATCAACGAACGCTTTTCATTCCACTAATTTATTCTTGTTTTTCTCGTTGCCTTGTTCCCACCAATAACGTAGCTCCATTCTCTGCCTTTAAAAGCACACACAACCCACAATTTCTCTATTCGCTCCGACGAAGGGCCAACGCTCGAAACGTCAGCTTTTGTAATCGTTACGGTGGCCAATTTACCACTTCAACTTTGTTGATATATCCAAATTATTTCGTTACTCCCACCGACGCAGCCCCAAACAGTTTCTTTCGAAACTATCAGCCTTTATTCAGTGGTATGATACTACATCATCAATCAGTTTTAAAGAGCACCACAATTGTCATTATTTTAGAAGTGCCATCGTAATTTTTTTTTCGCTAAACACTTACCATTACTAAAAGCGTCATTAACCAACTTTATTCCATCTTGAGATGATTCTTTGATAAACCGCGTTTTACTCAACAAAATCTCTAAGAGCAGGCCCATTTCATTCAGCTGTTTCTCCAGTGTAGATAGAAATACACTCGTGTTTGTCACTTCGTCTTGTGCTTGCATCAAAAGAGGTAAAACACCTGGAGCTATAAGCAATAAGTTATAAAACTCATGTCATTGTTATCATTATCATGTCATGTCATTGTTATCATTATCATGTCATGTCATTGTTATCACATCATAAAACTCATGTCATTGTTATAATATCATATTATGTCATTGTTATAATAGCATGTCATGTCATTGTTATCACATCATAAAACTCATGTCATTGTTATTATATCATGTCATGTCATTGTTATCATATCATTTCATGTCATTGTTATCGTTATCATGTCATGTCATTGTTATCACATCATAAAACTCATGTCATTGTTATAATATCATGTCAAGTCAGTGCTCCACTGTTATACCTCCTATAAAAAGTAATTTCGGAATGAATTGTAGAATTACATTTTTTTTTTAGTCATTTCATATCTAGAAACTTTCTTACTAGTAGGTTTCGTAAATTAACCGGGCTCATTAAAGCATCCCTACGGCTCACCTTTCTCGGCGGCTGTACGATACTGGACAGCGGCACCCTGAATGGCGGCAAAATGCCTGTAGATTTCATTCCATACAGCCAAGGAAGTTAAGAATGTCGATTTTGCCTGATGAATCATTTCCTCCAAATCTTAAGAAAAAACAGTATTTCAAATACCTGTTTTGACAGATATGAATCTACAATTGAAATAATCAAAGTCCGCTTGTTAAACAACTGTCTGTATATGACAGGATACTAAAGAACTTTTTTCAATCATTGTAAATTCATAAATCAAACAGCTGCATTTTGCCGGTGAAAGCGTAGGGGGGAGCTCGCCCTGTGGGCGAGTGTGAAGCATCTGGTGGCGGCTTAGAATTTTTTCCAGTGTTTTCATCTCGGCATGGCAATTCGAGCTCTTTATGGCTGGCACTAGTTGCTTCAAGGGGCCTTTGCGTTTCTAACTGGAAGACCTTGTAGGTCCTCCTGTGGGGACAAGTTAAAAAATCAAATCGAAGTTTTTCGTTGGAATGCCATATCTTTCAATCTTTGAATGGGAGTTTTGACTTTTTCTCTCTTGAACAAGGCCACGTTTGGAAATGAATAACTTCCGCATGATTTTTCTTGAGATGACGAACCCAGTCGAAGCCCAATAAGGTCTGCTCCCTCCCCCTCCTCCACTGACGAAAGGAAGTGGTTTTGTATAAAAGCTAAATAGACCTCTCACTCAGCGTTCTCTTGAGAAAATAATTAGCATCTGTCGCTATACTCACTCTGTGTGGTAGCATTTCGTTTTTCTGTAGCATTATAAAACTCATACACTCCTTGCCACGCTTTTTTGGCCCCAGCTTGAAGGTAATCCAGGGAGAAGATGCTGAGCTTTAGACAAGAAATGGGGATAAGTAAATTATACAGACTTCAAATAAATAAAAACATGGTATTCCCATGCGGCCATGTTATGCCCTTTATTTCAACAAATGGATGACATGTTACGGGTGGAAAAATGCAAAAGAAGACGCAACAGATAAACATTATAAAACTGAAGAACAAAGTAAACGAAAGACTGTCTTTTGCTGAATTAAATTTTCTCGATTTTGTACACAAACTTTTGACAATTGTTAAGCATGAACAGTCGCCCTGTCTCTTCTGTGGACTACTTTAAGTCCTGAATTTCTCGTTTGTTTACATCATTGTTCAAAGCATAGGTTTGACATCGTTAGAACTTAAAGAAAGATATCACTCTTTTTTAGGTGACTATTTGTGGAAAAAGTGCAGAACATTTACCTGTGTTCTGTGCTTAATTGTCAAACACAATGGAACTCACCTGTTGGTTGAGAACGTAAACTGTTTTATTTGACTGTTCCACGAGACTGAAAGACCTGTTGACAAGCTCACTTATCTCAGAATATTTGTCGATCGCCGATAAAGCTTCGGCTCCATGGGTCCGACTACGATTATACGTTCTTCAAATAAAGAAATACGAGTAACTTTTTAGTATATTGATCAGGAATAACGGAAAATAAAGAGTTCCTAAGGAAAAAGAGGAATGAAGAAGTGCTGCGTTGAAATAATGTCTCTAGCCCTTGTTAAGGTACACTTCTAAATATCATTCAATAATATTGAAAACGAACAAAGATTTTTTAATCATAGCTAATACACCGAATGCAAATATGGCGTCCAATTTGAGTTCCCATTGTTCTGGAGTGACAAGCCTCTCACACATGTAATAATCCTTTTGTATTTCCACGTGAAGACGAGGCTAGTCAGTCCAGAACAATGGCAATTCAAATTGGACGCCATATTTGCATTCGGTGTATATGGACGACGAAACTGCTGACTTATCAACTATTGTTCTCATAAATAGTTAATGTGAGCAAAGGACAATTAGTAAAATCGTTCCCAAACAAAAAGCTTAATCAAGAATTTAGCTAGTGGGTGGAGTGGGTGGTAATTGTTTCAATCTCATCTTTGCACTCACTGATCCATTTGATTAGCGAGTGATTGCAGATACGAGGCTTGGTTTTCAGCCTGATGTAGTTTAGCTTCAGCAGCCAACAGCTTTTGCTTAATGCTTTCGAGTTCTATTTCCAGTAGGTTTGATACATCTGTTAGTCCACTCTGTGCAACGAAGTTCCCACTCCTTATTTCAGAAAGGTCCTGGGGCATAACACACAAAAAACAAAAACAAAAAATGCTAGAACCATCTTACTTGAATATGACTACAATCACTTAGAATACATATATGCTGGATGAAATACACCACAGTAGTTGCTGATTAAAGACACTGAGGAAAACAATATGATTTCTCGGCACAATGATAAAAAACTCTTTTTCACTGCATCCTTAACAGCTTTAAATTATATTCGTATCAATTATTTTTTACGTGAAAAATACGAGAGTTCCGGATTCAGTAAACAAAAATCCAACCTTTTTGATTACATTCGTTTTAACTGTCTGTCACATATTGTTATCATTATATACCTGTGGGATTAGTGGATACCATACGGTGACGATGTTATCAAGGAAGTTTTCCATCTTAGACAAATCGATAAGCACTACGCCCATTAAATCATCTTGTTCACCAGGATCATGGTCATATACAGCCAGCTTCAGTTTGGTAGCATTCAACTGCTCCAGGGATACGGTGAAGCGAAGCACATCGGCAAATGGGAAATTTGGGTTTAAATTCTCTGTAAATGGTTAAGATACGAAAACTCCACGATAGAGATTATACGACAAGGTATTTATTTAACTTTCTCCAAGTTTTTCAGTTTTTATCATCAGTACAATTAAAAGGTCCTATTTTCGGATAAAAGTAGACACCACTTTCAAGGTGTGCCAATCCACTCTTACATTCAAAGTAAAAATGTTCTTGTAACAGTTATCGCTTAAGCATAGTTATTATGAGAACTTATATATCTCAATAGGTTGTTCTTGGCGTTCATGCTTGGTTTAGGATTAGCCAAGTAGTATTACATGACAAATTCTGATCTGGTAAAGGTAACGAATCTGATCCAACCGAAAGTAAAAGGAAAGGAAAAGCGAAAGTGTAGGAAAAGCGAAAGTGTAGGAAAAGCGAAAGTACCAGCGAGGCAGAGTCTTTCTATAAGGTCCGGCCAACGTGTCGGCCGACGCGTCGGTTGGATCAGATTCGTTACCTTACCCTTACTTTGTATGTGTGAATTTAACTATACTTGCAGTAGCTGTACGGTCTGAGTGTTTACGTTGAGAATGTCAAGGAAAATTACAAAAATAAATCAAGAAAGTGAAAACGAACGACATACACAATACACTAGAACGACTGTTTACCTTTAAAGAAATTGCCGAGCTGACGACACTCTGGCTCCGCGTTATTTCTTATTGTCAGGTTTTATTATTTCATTAGAGTATTACCGTAAACAGTCGACGTTGCTTTAGTCCCCTCATTATTCCAGTCGGGAATAATCGATACCAAAACATAAGGGTCTGAGGTTTGACGTGAAAGATCTTTTGGGGGAAGATTACGTCCTCTTTCGATACGCAAAGCCAATTGTGTTTGTCGCTGTTCGTACTGCAGCATGGATACCTCCAGTTCACCATTAACAGGAGATAAAGAACTTTGATATTCCTAATTTGTGAAGAATAAACGCATAAGATTACACAAGAAAAGGAAAATTCAAGCAGGTCAACGGATATATCTGGCACGATTAAGACGGAGGCAGTCGCGACAAATTTTGCTATTTCATCTTATTAGGGCTCCACGAACTTGCCCTGCAGGATTACGCAATCAGAAACTCGTTTTAGGGGTGTCTCAACTTGTCAGGAAGGTCTCTGCAATTTTGCAAATAGTTAGAGCTTGGTCGCAGACAGCGGATCTACAACAGAGGGTACAATTTAAGCCGGGTAATAGCGTCATGGTTTCTTAAATGGAAAATTTTAGCCACGATCCCAGAGGATTACATCAGCAAAATCAAAATCTGGAACTGCTTATTGGTATTAGGAGCTTCATGTAATATCCTGTCATGTGTTGATTAGTTAAAGAAAGGGAAAATGAACGAGCAGCCTTAGGAGAGAGATGAAGTACAAAGATGGCTTCAGTTGTTACCTCAAATATGGATGAACCACGCGATATAACAAGTCTTGTGTTATTTAATGTCATTTCTGTGTCAGCTAACGAAAACTTGGAATTGTTCAAAGCGTGGAACTCGTTTTCTAGAAGATTCTGGCGAAACAAATCAAACAATGTCAAAAGAAATACCATCTGTAAATGGTTATTGGTTAGTTACCGAATGCTGCAAGCCAGATACGTTTTACAAAAAAGTGTGAATGCCTAATTGCAGGAACTCGATATTCGCATTCGTCCACTAAATTCGAATAAAGTGGGGTTAGTCATGAACTTAGTTGAAGTTCGACTCACATTGGCTTGCAATGCCAGGTGTAATGTAGTAGCCTTTCTTTGCAACAGCCTCAATTCAAACAAAAACCCACGCTATCAGGGGCGTCTCTTTCAGGTGTTAGTTAGTGAGGGTAGGTAACGAGACACAGGAAGGGGGAAGGCAGCCTTTGACTTTCAATAGGATTTGCCTTAGATTTCGATTTTAACTTTCGTCCCAGGTTATTTTCATGTAACAATGCACTGCACAGTAAATAAGAAAGAAAGTAAGTATAATAGCTGCATTGCTAAGATCAACATACTTTTGTTGTTGTAAGAGTCGCATACATTTCGCCAGAATAATTATGAACTTGTTCTATCTTTTCCATGAAGATTGCATGTGACTGATTCCAGCGCTTCTGGATCTGTTTGTATTTGACTGCTTTCTCTTGCACTGAGATTTCAAGTTCTTGAGCATGAAACAGTTTGGACATGACCTGTAACATATGAAAAATATCGATTCACTGGACATGAAACGGAAAACCTTACAGGGGAAAAAGAAATAATGAATTTCAGTTTTAAAATTATACTTTGCCGCTGAAAGAGTAGGAATTGGAGAAGATGTATTTATTTTTATTTATTAAAAAATTTTTTATTACAAATTCACTCCACACGAATACACAAACAATTAGTATTAATTACAATTAAGGTTAATAAAAACCATGAAAGGAAAATTGTGGAGAAGGAGACGACCAAAAGCGCTGACCCACCATACAAGGGATGCCCACTCTAATTAAAAAAAAATTAATATAGCAAAGCTATATAGAAATATAAAAATAGATGCCCTAATTATCCTTATCCTTAGTAAAACTTAAAACACTCTTTTTAAAAGTTTCAATACTATCTGATTCTCTTATGTGATTAGGTAAGCTATTCCATTCACCAACGATACGGTTAAAAAAACTATATTTGAGACCATTCTGCTGAAATTTGGGACAAGGTCCTGTGTGTCATTTTTCCTCAAATTATAAGTCATGCTTCTGTCCTTACAAAATACGAGCTTATTGGAAATGTCTATGTCACAATGGCCATTAATTACATTGAACAAAAACGTAACATCCCTAGTGAACCTCCTATCAGATAATAGCAACAATTTCAATTTAGATAGTCTAGTACTATAATCACCATCAGACCTAGTGATCCATCAGGTAGCTCTTCGCTGAACAGCCTCCAATTTGTCAGTGTTACGTTTAGTATAAGGGTTCCAAGTTTGACATGAATATTCCAATAAGGGTCTCACAAGACTACAATGAAGTGTTCTAATGGTTTCAACATCATTTAAGTCCCTACAAGTCCTTTTACCAACCCTAAAACCCTATTGACCTTAGCAGTTATTCTATCCATATGCTGTTTCCATGAGAGACCACTAGCAGTAAACAATCCTAAATCTTTATAAACATTAACACAATCCAAAGGTTGACCCTCAATGTTATACTCCCCAACTAAGGGTGCCTTTTTCCCGGTTATTCGCATGATCTTACATTTCGTAGTATTAATTGTCATCTTGTTCATCTCACACCAATCTGATATTTTATCTATGTCACTTTGAAAACTGAGGACAGATTTATTCATGCAACTAAAGTTGCTGCATTCTACATTTGACACCAAGATGAAAACGGTAAGTCAAAAGTTAATTTGAGTCAATTAATAAGCAATGAATTTTTTAGATACTTAGGCCAGTAGCAGGCTGGCAAAAGTACCTGCCAACCCATGTCCTGCTTCAGGCAGCCAACACTGGGTAGAACTATGAGTTACCATAGTTACAGTAATTAAGATATTCTTTCAGTTTGACTCTATGTTCGAGCTAAGTTGTTTGGGACTTATTACTGATAAGGTTGCATACCTGTGTCAATGTTTGCTCGGCAACAGCAGATGTGTTTTCAGCCATCCATACTTTTTTATTTATGTCCTGAGAATATTGACTGAATTTTCTATTCATTGTTTGGTGTAAGGCCTCAGCTGAGTCTGTCTGGGCTTTCGATGCAGCGGCATGGCGTTCTTCAAGAGCATTTCGCACGTCTCCAATGATACCATCCACAGCTGATAGAGATTTGTCAACATGTTTTTGCTTTAGTTTACCCATACAGTATACTTGGTTGGAATTTCATTTTAAAATGATTTTTCGCGTCTACCGACTGGCAGAACAGCATCTAAAGGGTGGGTCACTATCCCTTTATAACCAGTTGCTTCGGTTAAATGAGACTCGTAAGTTTGGAAGGGAAACCCGTCTCGATGAAAGAAAGCCAGATTTCACACTTCGGCTACTTTGCAGCCATACCCATACCCAAAATAGGCTTCGGGAGTAAATATTCAGAAAGAATACGAATCGGGAGTCCCTAAAGCAGTTCGTCCTCCATATAAACATCTCCGCAGAATTTTATTCAACTAGGATTGAACTACCAATTGTTTACTCTGACCGACGCAGACCTACTGCTACTGATTTGTGGAGAGTTGGAGGATTAGAGGACCCAGGTAAAAAGAGAGCAATAAAGCACGATGACCAAGTGAGATCAAAGGCTGCCCATTAGGGGACAGTGCATTGAACAATATCATTCACACCTGCGCCTGGCAATAAATCGGAACTCGTTGTCACTGATTTTTTCCTTAAACTCAAAGGCTAGCCGAACTGAAGAGTATTACTTTGGTAAGGGCTATCAATAAAATTATTTTTCCGCTTTCTCGACATCTAGTATTTTTTAGAGAAGAGAGTTTCCCTGAACCCGCATAAATGTCTACTAGTAAAGAGATTTCCACGAACCCTTTCCCAGACTAATTCATGAATAGAGTACGATTTAACTCGGCTAAAACCAACCCTTTGACTATTCTTGCGAGAGTTACTGTATCTTTATAGATATCAGTAAGTACATAAAGTTATCATGAAAAGTACACGAAGAACCACTCACATGTAACGTATTTCTTTGTAGATAATGTTGCATTCTTTTCATTGTTGATATCCAATAGAGTATTAGTGGAATTAACCTCAGCGTCTTTTGAAAAGCTGTTTAGATGTTGAGCCTAAAAATTAAATAAAAGCGATGATAAGATCTTCTCTTTGCACAACGAATAACCTCTCATCTAATGGGTACAAGAACAAAGTCATTATCGTCATCGTCATGTCCTCAGCGTCACCAACAACACCACTACAAACAACTTTCACGTCCTCATCCTCGTCGCCTCTCTCAACCTTGTAATTTCCCTAGCCCTCATCAGCATCTTCCCATCCATCCTTTTCAGGGCCCTCTTTCTCGTAATCGCAAACATTCTTAGCCTCGTCCTTGGTCTCGTCCTTGGCCTCGTCCTAATTTTTGTCCTCGATCTTGTCGTTGTCCCCCGTCCTCGTCACTCTCCCTCATTTTTGTCACCGTCTTTGTCCTTATCCTCGACACTGTATTAGTCCTCGTTTTCGTCACTTTCCTCGTCCATGTTCATGGTACCGTACTATCCCTTGTCAATGTTCTCGTCCTCGCCCTCGTCTCCGTCATTGCACCGATCATCTTCGTCGCTGTACCATTCCTGGTCCATGTCTTCGCCATTTTCACCGTTTTATTCACCGTTCAAGTCCCCTTATTGTCCTAGACTTCATCATTGTCAGCGTACTAGTTTTCGTCCACGTGCTCGTCTTCTTTAACCCCCTCGTCACTGTCCTCACTACAGTCTTTGTCACCGTCGTCGTCGTCCTCTTTGTCATCATGGCCATCGCTGCCTCAGGCCTCTTTTTAAAACACAGATAAAAGATTTTATCATATGATCCGTCCTGCCCCCCTCGGGAAATCCCAATACATAATATCCTTACCCTATTGGAAAGACTCAGAAGACTGTTATTAACTTCAGGAAGGTCAGAGGTCATGAGATTTTGATAAACTTTATTTCCAGCAGATATCCGAGTGTAAAACTGTTTTCTTTCTGTCTGAAATAGCATTGGCATATTTTGTGAGTAAAACAGAAAGAGTAACATAAATGAGAGAAGAAAGGGAAAGAAAGAGAGGGTAACACCGGATGCTGAGTTATGGAGGTACGTGACGAAATTTTGATGTATTGAATTCCACGCGTTTTAATTGTTTTGCATAACATAAGAGACTACCCGAAATTTTTTTCTTTCTAATATTAGATGAAATGTAGAAGAACATTTTATGACCTTTCTATCTAATTGTCGGCTAGATATGCTGGACAAAGCGGGAATGTGCGTAGAACATACGTAAAGTTAGCTTGTACAATTTAATCAATTGGTATGGAACATCACCAACCTTTGTTCGCTGTAGTGAACGAGACACGTCTACCATTGGATTATTAAAGTCTGCAAAATTCTTCAGCTGCATAACCTTAATGTATGTCTCATTTACGACGTATGAATTGTTATCAATTGACTGCCGCAAGTTCTGGATACACATGGAACACGCTGGTAGGGAATCGAGCAAACAGATCGCAGTCTTAGTTTCTCAACCAGAAGCACCCGACGGCCACTTGATTTACCTAACATATTGTGATATCTTAATGATTATAGGGATCGTGTATCACTACGAACAGGTCCATTCTACAAGGTAAATTTCTTTTCACATGATCATAACAAATGTAGCAGCTTAAAAACTGTGAAACTACATTCATCTCTCATCATTGAAATATTTTGTGGTTATGGCATGTCGCAAGGCTTTCATATGGGCTTTCAAGCATTTCCCTGGTTGTACACATCTATCGTAAAGTTGTTGTATTTGTGTTTTAAGCTGATTGCATGTGACGCCCAAGGCAAACTTAATACTATGTAAATCATCTCTAATACTCTTTTCAAGGGAAGGTAAACCATACCTTCACATCCCTTATCCGACAGCTTGATGAAGAATTTCATACACTGACCACATGACCTTCCCGTGACACCTGGCTTGCATTGACATTGCCCAATGGTATCATTTGTACACACTGTACCAGGAATTGTACCCGTTGTTTTGCAGTTGCATTCTAGAAACATCGGAAAAGAGGGCAAGAAAGGGTTTTAAGCTTTCAAATGGTAATCACAAGGCGACCTTTGTGTTGAAAAACAAGATACCATGAAGGCGCTCGGAAAGGATAAGGAGGTCTTAGCATTATAATGCCGAGGGTCACGTTTTGCTAAGTAGAGTTTTTCAGGGAGGCATCTGTCGGAAAATATATGCCAATTGTAACCTATTTATGAGCCTGAGTTGTACCTTTACACGGTTCCTCTGGTAGTCCATAGAAACCGAAAGCACACTGCGTGCATTTCAGTCCAGTGACGTTGGCTTGACATGGACACTGTCCACTTGAATTGCACTGCAAGCTCGCTGATCCAAAAGAGTTACATCGACAGTCTTCACAACCCGTAGGACTGAAGTTAAACGTGTTGGCCTGTTGAGTTAGGTGCGAAGAAGTGAGATTTGTGCAAAACAAGGTTAATAATTATTAAGTACTCATACACTATCAGTCGAAAAGAATAGCTACCTTGCACAAAGTACAATTCCTTCCAGTGACGCTTGTTTTACAGTTACATTGCCCCGTAACCCTATCACATGATTGGTCCAACGAGCCAATTTTACTACAGGCACATGCTGCGGAGGTATGGGAAAAACACGATCGTATTAGATTTTGTTCTGAAATCACACACATTAAAGGAACAAAATCATGTCTCAACCAAACTGTCAGAAACAGTGATGAGTGCAATAAAAGTAAAGTTCTCCTAACTTCAGAGGCTGAAAATCATAAAGGTGATCGAGGAATTAAAATTCAATTTATGAAAATTGGTTGCCTCGGAAACCCTTGTTTATCAAATAATGATTCTTCGCGTGTTTAAGAGTTTAGTTTTTTTCAATGACCCATACAACTTGAATTTCAAAGGGTCGTAGACTTTCCCATAAAATTCTACATTATTTGCATTTTTTCTCGGATCCTGTGTTTCGAGAATACTACCCAACGTTATAATTATGCTTACCTTCACATTGCTGAATGACTGCATTTCCAAACGTTCCGTTGTCACAATGCTGACAGTAGAAGCCAGTTGTGTTAAACTGACATTCCAGACATTTTCCAGTCCTCAGACACTTGTTTGAGTTATTGTTGCATTCACATGGCTCGCATGTTCGTCCCACGGTATTCTCTGGACATTCGCACTCTCCGGTTATAACGTCACAAACTTTGTTTGGTCCATTGCAACTACAAGCTAAGATAGTTTTTCCTCAGTGTGAAGCTTGCGTTCTATCAAAATCTTACATTTACTGTGAGCCCTATGAGAAGCCAGGAAATATCAAGAAGTCCGTTAATGAATAACATTATACTCTCTTTGGTGTATCGATCGAAGCTTGTCAATTCTAAGAATGATAAATAACTTTACAAGTGCCTTCGTTAAGGGTGATCTATATAATCGTTGCAAGAAGAGGTCCTTTTATATGTTCCCTTATTAGCTTCCCTTTCTTCTGACGAGGTGTAAATAGGTGTTAGGTAGATTTAAAGGAGCGTGCTGGGGCGGAATTGACATGCCAAGCTTCCAAACAAAGGCGCTGTTGGTAACGCCGATTAGTGGGGATAATTTGAGAATTATCCCACCCAATTGTAAGGTTAGTTAGGATGTATGCTCCGACAAAGCTGAATTTTCTTTTTGCAAAAGAAGACCGTTTTTTGATTCTCTTTCAAACGTGTACCAAACTGACGTTTGGTCTGTCCGATATACTCGTGATCATAGTCATAGCACGCAATAGATTAAAAAGCGCCGGTTCGTTGTTCTTTCGTAACAGGAAGGTAGACAGGAGTGTCGAAACGTTGGGTCGATGAACTGTAATTCCCCGATTACATCATTAAACCAGAGTAGAATCAAACTATGTCTGATTGTCCCCCTGGTTGCCTTGCAAACTTTGATATAACGTTGCAAATATTCGGTAAAAATTTGAGAGAAAAGATCCCTGAGGATCGTGGAAGGCAATTATGATTACACTCAGAATTTGATTTATTTTCAAGTTCCGAGCCCAGTTGGAAGACGCCAGAAAAGAGTTGCATTAATGCAGAACCACTTACGGAAAACCATTTTAACAAACACACATTCTAGACTCGAATAGAGAAATATTCGGAAGCTATTTCAATTTTTTAAATACTTACGGATACAACCTTTTCCCGTAAGATTATAAAATCCCGGCCGGCACCTACTGCAGTCTCGTCCCTCCACTCCCTGCTTACAAGAACACTGGCCCCCATACCCCTTACAGATTGAACTGTTGGATCCCAAAGGATGGCATTCACAAGCTATGAGGTAAAATGAGGGCACGTAATATATTAAATCAGCATGCAACAAAAAATAGGATTATTTTGAAAAGACAAAAAAAGACACAAAAGAATGACACAAGAAAAAGAGACGAAGGAACAACCGTACTTATATTGGAGATATTTTTTAATCGGACTAATAAAGCTGTTATGACAAGACCGATGTTAGGACAGATTGGTCAGTTCGTTTAACTGCATCGTTCCGCAAAATAAGGCTGAAGGAAACCAAGACCATAGTATGTTACCCATAAGAACACAAGACAACCGAAAAAAAAGCAAAACTTTTCTTACCTAGCGCTCCATTTAAATAATCCATAGTGATACTGAATAACCACGGTAAGCACCTTGCGTCTGTACTGAAAACATATAATTATTAATGTTTTGGTAATAGTAACCATGGACAAGAATGAAAATACACATTTAGTACTTATTACCTTGAAGTTCTAAATAACAAATGATGCTGTAAATGATTACGAGCCTTTTTCTCAAACAGAACTTGAAAAAGACTTCAACCTGTGGACTAACAAATATCGATTGCAACAACTGTAATCTAACCTGGCTGGTTAATCACATCATTCACTCTTACACCTTGAAATATCTATTCTTTATCAAATTCAAGAGGAGACCTTCTTGCGAGTGACCTGGCACCTCGCTGCGTAACAAAAAATTATTTTTAGATGTTAAGAACCGTACATATTCTTTACCTCATATCGTTTCCCTCAACGCTACAAAGAAAATCGAACTCTGCGCTTTTATCTCCAAGTACCGTGGCCTGTTTGAACTCTTTGGGAATGGCCACGACCCCTTCCTAAAAAAAAATAAAAAGTATATCCCAGTAAAGTGACGTAGCATCTGTCTGGTTTAGTGACGGGTTCATCCATTTTCCCTTTCGAGGACTGGGCTTTTATCTTTTTTCACACCTAGTTCTAGGTTATATGCTTCTACCCACGCTCATGGATAACTAGTTATTGCACTTTTCGTAGTTTTGTCTCTGTACATTATGAGGATATCGTGAGTGCTTTTGTTTGTTTCGCATTTCATGTTCCTATATATTCATAATTGTTGAATACCATGATATTGCAATGTCAAAGAAAAGCCACTGGCTTTTTTTTACCAGTTTTAGTTGGTCATAACGCTGCGTTGTTGATATGTTGATCATCCAGCTTCCATTTGTCAACGAAAGATAGTCAAGGTCAGGATTTATGGTTTCAAGGCAGTCGTCGCACCCTCCTGATAATGAGGGTGAAAAAATCATCGGATCGCTAGCTCCAGAAGTGTTTTGAAATTGAAGGACAACATTAAGTTGAACTTTTACGCCCTCATCATTGGTGTATTTAACCTGAACGCGGTACTTCCCCGTTTTAGGGATTTCCAATGACACATTAAGTGTGTCCTGCAAAAGAAGAGATGGAAAGATAGGTTGTAAACTTGGATAACAAAACACAAACTGAGACAATCAATCAGTCAATCAATCAATCAGACTTTATTTAAAGAGGCTGAAACTTAATAATTAAAAACTAATGAACTTGTGGCCTTCTATAAACTTTGTTACAATTAAAAAAAAAACTTTTATAATTAATAACCTAATTAGGAATTTAATTAAAACCTAATTAAAAATCACAATATACAACAAATCAAGATTTTAAAGTTAAAGGTAAAACATATTGGTCATATCATGCGATCTAGGAATAGATTATTTAAAAAAGGAGTAAAAATCTTATCCCTAAGCTGACTTAATTTAAAATATTTTGTACAAAGCATTCTTCAAAGTATTTACAGATTGAGAGGCGCGTAGCTTAAGAGGAAGGTGATTCCAACATCTTGAGGTTGTTGCAGAAAACGTGCGGCCTCCCTCTTTCTCTCTTATGTATCTCCTAGGTAAAATGGTTAAATTAGCACCTCATGTATCTCTGCTGTGCTGGCTGTTGTTTAGCTCTAACAGTTCGTTACAGGCCGGACGAGTACCCATAATCCTCTTGTAGACCACTAAGCACCTTTTGATGTCAGGCTCGATGTTATGTGGCACCCACCCTAGAATATCAAATAGATCCACAGTGCCATGGTGTTGCTGGGCGTTAAGGATGATTCGAGCATAGCGTTTCAGCAGCTTAAATGTCTTACTTATATTATCATGACTGCAGCAGCGTGTCCATGTTACACTGCAATATAATATCATTGGCTTAATTACAGAATTATAATAAAGTATACGCTCTGCTCTTGGTAAATAAGCCTTAATTCTGTTAAGTATGCCAATACACTTTGAAATCTTCTTACATAAAGAGTCGATGTGAACTTTGAAACTGAGCCGTTTATCAAGCTCATGGCCTAGCAGCTTGATGTTCTCCACCTGTTTTAATGTGCTTCCCTTGAGCACTATCTCGAGCTTGCGATCTTCATTACTTAAACGTCTCCGTAGGCGCGGTCCATCAGTTAGTATTGTCCTCGTCTTGGAACAATTTAGTAGCAGTTCGTTGTTTGTTACCCACTCATCGACGTTGGAGACCTCGCGTTAGAGAGTGTTCTTGAGCTCTTCTATGATTTATATAATCGGAAGAAGCGAGGAGTGTCGTCAGCAAACATGTCGATCCGTGTGTGGATATTTAAGGGTAAGTCATTGATGAACAGCACAAAAAGTAAGGGACCCAGAATGGAACCCTATGGCATACCCGCTGTAATAGTCCTAACGGTCGATTTCTCTCCTTTGAATGAAAGCAGTTGAGTACGATCGGTTAGATTTGACTTGAACCAAAGTAAAGTGCTCCTATCCAGTTTATAGGCTTCAAGCTTGCTACGTAAAGTCACATGATCTACCATGTCAAAAGCCTTCTTATAATCAACTAGAACCATACCATTAACATGGTTTTTGTCAAGATCGAATAGCAGAATTTCAACTATATAAGCAAGCGCTGTCCTCTTTCTAAATCCGGACTGGTTGTTATAGATGAGGCCGTGAACATTTAGATATTCAGACAAATGGTCATGCACATGACGTTCGATGATTTTAGACAGCACGGGAAGTACTGAAATAGGCCTATCGTTGTTTACATCATCCATGTAACCAGCTTTGTGGAGGGCAGCCACTCTGGCTCTTTTCTAACGACAAGGAAAAGTTCCCGATGAAAGCGATAGGTTGATTAGCTTTGCTATTGACGGCGCTAGTTCTGCGATACCTAGGCGCAAAAGAGCACAACTGATTCTGTCAACTCTAGTTTCGGGAATTTCAGTAAATATACCTTCACCATATCAGCTGTGACAGGAAGAATAGTGAACTGTGATTCTAACGGTAGCCTTTCGCTAACAAACTGTTTGAGTCTGTCGAGATTGCAATAGTTTGTGGTCAAGAGGGATCGTTTCTTTTTATCTGCAATAGTTGTAATGTGCAGATTAAAATAATCTGCTATGTCTGTCACTGTTGAGATTATCTTTTCTTTGGTAACTTTGAGAAATTCTGGTTGACGCGTTGGTTTGTCTCCTCAACTTTCAAATAGATTTAGAGTTCCCTTTGCTATTCTGAAGCGAAGCCTTATGATCAGATTGGTGGCCTGATTTCGCGCGCTGCGATACAGAGTATCGCAGAGTATCAGAGTACCTTGCCCATGCGTCAGCGGTGTCATATGCCCTGGATTTTTTAAGTTGGGTGTCTCTTTTTTACAGGTTATCTAAAATGTCTCTTGTTAACCACCGCGGCTGCTTGACTCTACAAACCCGCTTATGCATAAGCGCGTGCATATCGTTGCCTGAGAAAACATCTTATATATATTTTATTTCCTTGCAACTTAAATATGCTGTTTCAATACATTCTTCAAACTTCTTGTCATCTGCTTTGGTGCTTGACGGTGGGCGGTAACAACCAGCAATCAACAAAGATCGCTCTGATTTGTAGGGATACATTTCAAGCCACAAGATTTCTACGAGTCACATTCCAGATCGAAGCGTCGCGATAAAGTGAAATCGTCTTTACAGTACACAACCACTCCACCACCGGCCTTACTAGTATGGTGTTTCCGTAATAAAGAATACATCCACACGACTTGAATTCTTGGTCAATAATAACTTAATCTGTTCAAACTTACTGTCAGTCGTGTAGTTAATATTCCATCGACAAAATCGTAATCCCTTTGACAGTAATGGTAACTTGAAATACGATCCAACATTATCACTTTAGCATTCAACTGATTCGCTATCTGACCGCGTTCAGTCACCCGAATAAATACCCTCCGCAAAAGCCCTCTCCACCTGATAGAGAATCGTCGTCAGAGATGGAAAGACAGCCGTTACAAATCCACTCGGGGAATTCGAGTCGATGCATCGGGTCCAGGTCGGAGACGCAGTTACGATGGAAGTAACCATCGCTTTAAGAGCAGAAAATCGAATCCGACTTCTGTTCAATACTGCTTCGGCAGGAACAACATAGCGGCCCCGGACAAACTTCATTATTTCGATATGGGGGCTCACCCACAACACGTTGAACGGCCCAGGATTTGACAGTACATCAGATCCGCCCAGGAAGAGAAGCTCAGCAAATAAAGGATAGTTTATATGCTTTATTGCAGTATTGATTTTGGCAGAGCACGGCAAACTGTGCCGGGAAGTGTTGGCGAGCGTGCTGACTTCAGACAGATGTGCATAAACCGTTCTCTCGAATAAATTAATATTCTTGATTTGCTTTGTTGTTCATCAAAGCTGGATTCCTCGCTTACTAAAATACCTAACGTGTCTTTAGTTCACACATTTGTCTTCTCATTTGAGTTTTCTAAGGTCCTGTAAATGATGTACCATTCACGTGTAGGATTATAACCAAAAAAAGATACATAAATAAGATGTTGAATTACACTTACCGTGGATGGTTTGTAGGGATTTCGCGAGGCTTGTACAAAATGAGTATCTGGATAGTAGAAGCCTATCGCCGTTCTTTGGAAAAAAACAATGACAAGAGGTTTGAAATTAAAAAGTCGCCGTTAAGTTTCAGAGATGGCCTTTGTCTACTTTTCATTTGTATAACCAGGGAAAACTGTTCTATTCCATTATTACAATTTACCTAGACTGGATATCGAATAAACAGCATTCTTATATGCTAAAACAGTGGATAGCGTTGTAAATGCGTTCTGATTGGCTACTCAAAATCCGAATATCCTTTGCTATTCACCTCCGAGCAACAGTGTAGTCAGTCATTCCAGAGGGATGGTCAATGAGATTAAAAAATTGGGTAACACCAGCTGAATGATTACATTACCTATTGCAGGATGTTCCAGTCACGTGCGGTCTGCAGTGACAGACACCTGTCATCTTGTCACATACTGCGCCACTGGCTGTCCCGCCCACATCACAATCACAAGCTACAAGAATGAACATCAGGAGATTTAGTGTCATGTTTGAAATACACACTCAGCCAAGGCAGAAGGTTTGTAACGTTTTATCAATTAGAATCGTTACTTTCATTATCTGGCAACCGTCATGTCTCTTAAAATACATTAATGTTCTTCTGACCGTTTAATTCATGCTGTTGATCCACGATGCAGACCTAGCTCTTATGCGAACGGCAACGCTCGGAGCCTGAGTGAACTTATAAAACAAAACCGTGCAAAGAGGTGAAAGAAATGAAATTTTGTAGATGAAGGTGACTAGAATGTGATTAAAAGTGGGTAGAAGTGAGGAGTTATGGAACTGATAATTGCTAATAGCGATAAATACAAGTTAAAATCATGATGATGCTCAAACGGAAAGTACCTCCAGAGAGTAATTATGACAAGCCTCTATTGTTTGCCATCTCAAAATCCCATGTAGAAGAATGATGAGCTGGTACATAAAGTTATATAAGTGCTTTTATTGCAAGTAAAGACACTTAGCCTTATCATTATCATTATGTCACCTTATGCTTAGACAATTGCAGTAAGTGTTGCTCACATTTACACCCATTGCTATCAGAATCCTGTAAATCGTAATATCCATCTTTACATTGGCTACAGTCCCTTCGATCCACATTTGGTTTACAGTTACACTGGCCATAATAGTCCTAGCCGTGACACAAGAGAAGATTAGCAGAAAATTTTATTAATATGCAATGTCCATGATTTATATATTTCTTTGTTTATTTTTCATATCTTGTTTCTCTTTCATTTTCTCGGTGAGGCACCGAGACAAGATATTTTGATAGGCTCGCTGTTTGCTACCTCAAGATCGGCATAAAGGACATCACGAAGTATTATTTGGGTGGGTTGGAAAGAAATGAAAACTGCAATAATACATAAAAATTTTCGGCTTCCGATATCGCAATGTTCTGGATAGTTCTTAACTGTACTTTCTATTTGGAGCACTTACCCCTTGACAGACATGAGATCGACCTATCGTTCCATTTAAGTGACAACTGCAAACTGCAAGGAAATGTATTTGTGTTATTCAAACGTATTTCTGAGCATAAGCTAAGTCTTCAGCACCAAAGGCTTGATTTCTCGTGGTAGACGCGAATTTATATTCTTTATAACCATCCCAGGATCTGTGAATGGAATCACCTAATATTTGTGACTTGGGTAAAAATCTGGAAAATCGGATTTCAGGCTGGAATGTGTTCTAGGCACTAACACGTCATAAAGGGAGAGGTTTACGATTTTTTCTTACCAGTGCACCCCTGAGGGTTGTCTTGAGTCAGTCTGTAATGTCCTTCCTGACAAGTGTCACACTGCCGACCTCGCACAAACTCCTTGCAGTAGCAATCACCTGGTTGCTTAGGAGTAAGCAGCCATGAACGATTAAGAAATGTCATTTTTACGTTAGCAGTTAATCTAAAGTGTTTATGTGAAGGTGTAGTCTGATCGTCCGGGTGAGTGTAGTCCTGAGAAGGACTGTTGTCGGTGGTAGTGACTGACGTTTCGACAACCTG